TACTAAAGACAAAAGAATTTATTACTAACAGAAGTGTTTTCCTATCCAGGAGGTGTTTGATTCTGTTAATTTGGTACAATTTAAAAAGGCATTTAGAGGCAATCTCAGTGATATGTTGGTTATAACTGAGGTGTGTGTCAAGAAGAACACCCAAGTCCTTAACGACAGGCACAGGTGTTATTTCCTTGTCAGAAAGTGTTATACTGAATGATGACAGTTTCTTTAAAAGTTGTGGTAATCCAACAGCTAGAACCTTAGTTTTGTCCGGATTAATCAAAAGAGAGTTTTTACAGCACCATTGAGATATTCTCGTAAGATCTTCGTTTAAGGCGAGGATGGACGTGGGTAATTCGGCAGGTGAAAAGGACAAGTACAATTTACAGTCATCAACATAGGAGGCAGATAGACAACGTTTAGGAACAGAAAGGAGGTCGTTAACATAGATTGTAAACAAAACCGGACCTAAAATAGAGCCTTGCGGAACTCCGAACTCAAGTGGGAGTACTTTAGAAACTGCGTCACCTATTCGAACGCACTGTTGTCGGTTAGAAAGGTAACTCTGAAACCAATTCAACGCACCCTGGGAAAAATCGAGATTTTGTAGCTTGGATAACAAGATGTCGTGTCGAATACTATCAAATGCTTTAGACATGTCTAATAAGAATTAGTCTATTTAGAAATGATGGCACATCAACTGCCAATAATATAAGACCATATGGAGGTACAGCAGTTTATAGTCAAATAGATTATTACCCTGGCTATTCCTACTGCAGCAATGGTACTGGTATTGAAATAACTGTAATGCGATTTTTGAGCCTTCCACATATTAGTATCATAGGACTTTATAGGTCACCAAGAGTACCAGTGATGCAATTATGCCAAGAATTGAGAGAAGTTTTTGATAAACTGTCAACTCGTGACAATATATTTATCGGTGACTTTAATATTAACTGGTTTAATGAAACACAAAGAGCACCTCTTCAACATCTGTTTGCAAGAAATAATTACAGACAACTTGTACTCTGTTCAACTACTGATAACAATACTTGTATAGACCATATATATACTAATCTACCAGAAACACAAATTGATTTCCTTATTTTAGAGACATACTTTTCTGAACACAAAGGTATCTGTGCATTGGTCAATAGTTTTTAAACAAACAACTTGCAAGCATTCGCAAGCATACTTAAGATGAGAATCCTTTATTGTTCATTATTGCTTATGCTAACAGGTAACAATAATTACATTTTCAGAAGTTTTTATTGATCCATTAGCCCCTCTCTTTGGCTAAGAACCTAATGTGAACTCTGGAAATCAGTGCAACTTTCAAATTACTCAATAATCTGCTGGAGGATTGTCCACTAATCTGTAGGTTGTGCACACAAAGCATGATTTCCAAACAATTGCCAGCTTTATAAACATTTGCCATGCCACTGACATGTCTAGGTTTTCCCCTCTAATATAAACGTTATATTTTGCAGATTCATCTATTGAGGGCTATGTACATTTACTAAGTCCCATACAATCTTCCAGCAAAACAAAGACAAAGTACTTCAACTTCAAACTACAAACGGCAGAAACTGATAGTGTTCGCCTGGTATGTTATTCACCTGAAAAAAAGAGTCAACCTTCAACAGGCTTTTCAAAACAAATCCCCCGTTAAAATTCACGGTGTAAAACGAAGCAAAACAAAGGAAGATGAATATTCCATTGCCAAGGCAGCCAAGATTGCTCCTTCTGATGTGGAATCTCCATACAACAAAGCAGTTGCAAGCCAAGTCTCTACAGTTGAAGATTGTCTCTCTGCCAGCCTATACGACAAAGTTGACATTAAGGTGAAAGTTGTTACTAAATCAGAAAACAAGCAACCAGTTGTACACAGAGAGAAAACAAAGTACAGGTTAGAATGCCTTGTTGCAGATCACACAGAATCAATCAAACTTATTTTATGGGAAGATGCAATTGAAAAAGTACACAGTAGCAAAAGTTACCACTTTCAAAACCTGACGGTCCGCATATTCGATGATAACAAGTATCTCAATACCAATGAGTTAACAGTGATAGACGAAATTGATGACATACATGACATTAATTTGTCATCACCTACCCTGGAAGACAACCTCGTCACAGCAAAGTGTGTTGGAATCGATATCAAAAAAAGCTCCTCATGTTTTGTTTTTAACAGCTCCTTAGATAACTTTCCCAAACTGTAACATAACAACCTTAGCAAGTTTATGCAAAACCAAACTGGTCTGTCAAATACTTCTTCAAACTGCAGACAATATTTCAAGCTTCACATGCTTCAATGATGCACTTCAGAGTTTCCTGAAGTCCATAAACTGCCAAACAGCTCTGTCAGACATCGAAATTAATGAGCTCAAGAAATTGTTGTTGACTGCAGGCCCACAGCAAATGATAGTAAGCAAGTCACAACGATTAATATCACAGTTTCTGGCACCAAAACTAACGTGTACTAGACATTGTAAACTAATTGACAATGGTTGACATTTAATTCAGTGACATTCAACATGTTACATGTGCATCAACTGGTGAACACCTCTATTACAAAGAGACATTGGTCCACTCAAGAAATTATTACTTTGGTTGTTGAGTTTGTTACTAGCGATCCTATATTAAATATTGTTATTCAGTTTACATTTAATTCAATGACATTCAATGACATTCAATGTTACTGTTCTCATGCAAGTGCGTCAACTGACAGAGTCCTCTATTACTCGGAGACAGTGGTATGCTCAAGAAACTGTTGCATTGATTGTTCAATTTCTGTAAATATTGATAATGCGCTAGATATTGTTAATATCAGTTTACATTTAATTCAGTGACATTCAACATATTAAATGTTACTGTCCTAACATGCCTTAACTGGTTACCACCTCTGCGAGATATCCAAATTATTGCTTTGGTGGTTCAGATTAATTCTACCAAAATGAATCATATTGAGTTAACATTTAATTCAATCACAAGAACATCAACTGGCAAACATCTCTATTACACAAAAAAATTCCTATGCTCAAGAAATAATTGCTTTGCTTGCCAATATTGATTATAACTACACAATGTTATTCAGTTGACATTTCAGGGTTGTTAAATATTGTTGCATTTGAAGTTAATAAAAAATTGCCAAGTGTCAGATGTACAAAACTATTTTCAACTTTGTCCATTTTTGTCCCACTAAAATAACTTAGTCAATTTTCAATTATCCCTCTTATGTTTCTGTTGGAGGCACAGCAGCCTCATGGTTAGTGCCCTTGACTCCGGATCGAACAGTATGGGTTTGAGCTCTGGCCGGTAACATTGTGTTATGTTCTTGAGCAAGACACTATTCTCTCAGTGTCTCTCTCCCCCTAATGTAATAAATGCATACCAGCATATTTAATACTGGGGAATAACCCTGCAGTAAACTTGCATCTCATCCACGGGGAGTGGAAATGAGTTGCCACAAAGCTATACGCAACGTCTCACAGGATTGGCTGAGAAAATGATCTAAAAACGATAGTAACAATGGACCCTAGCCCTGAAACGATAGAACTTCGTGTTAACAAGATCCAATGAAATTAGAGGTTCTAGAGAGCTTTATGACAACGGGTAGAAGTACTCCTAGTCGCTTCAAGCTAAAGAAAAAAAAACTTTACCTTTTGCCTTACATTTCTAAACATTTTCTATTTTCAAGTAAAACATCAAGTGAATTTCGATGAATACAAAAGCAGACTCTAGGTGACCAAAGCTAATTTCCACCACATGATTTTAAGGCCAGCCTATCAAAACGAAGAGTTTTACTCAATTATTTCCATCCAAGGTAGCCACATGCAGTCCCTGACTGCCTATTTTTAAATGTGTAAAAAATCTCTGCGGGCCTGCCTCTACTTTCCATGGGGGCAATTCGCGAACGAAGCTCAAAAATCAGATATTGCATAATTTGGCGATGTCTACATCTAATGCTCTCAACAACAAACGTTTCAGACAAATGAAACGTGCCAGGCTTTGAAAGAATGTTATCTTATGACAATATCCCGAAGAGAAATCTCGCCTCTGGTAGTCAACTTTTAAAAAAAAATTGATCAACCTTCATGGAGGACTACTCGACGTAACTACAACCATATACCTCAAATCGTGTGCATGTCATCCAGATTCCGAGTGCTGTACCTTCTTCCATGGGAATTTGAGCGATCCGAAGTCCTCTGAAGATACACTGTTATACTTGCATGTCATTTAAAACATGTTGAAGTCGGCTGATCTACACGAAACTATCCTCACACCGGTCATTTGTCATAAACATGCAGACAATGCAGAGCCACTCGCCCTCCGAGGCAGTCTCAAATCCCTCGCAGCTCATGTGTAACCTTTCTTCGCACAACTCGCACTGTACCATGTCGTCCTAACATTTGGGCATTGAACAATGACAAAATAAATTAGTGTCACAAGTTCGTCTCTTATTGAATCTAGCGGTGTTCGACTATCGCGGACCTCCCTCCAGACATTAAACTAAATTCTTGCCCATTTTCCCATGGTCAAAAGAAACATCCGACGGGATGCCAGTTTGAATGAATTAACGATACGCATGTTTTGAATTAAAAACATACTTTAGTAAGCACTCGAACGTAAAGTATCATCCATTTTTACTAGAACGTTAAGGATGATGTTTTCACTCAGTTTTGTAGGGGGGTCCAAATCCGCCAGCGGATTTGCACCGGAGGGGTCCATGTCCGCTAGCGGATTTGGACCGGGGGGGGGCCAAATCTAGAGGGGTCCAAATCCGCTGGGACACCAGCTCACCAGGAAGAAACAGGAGATCGTTCAGTCCAATAACGTTAGTCTGTGGACATTATCAAGGTAATAACTAAGAAGATTGTGCCCTTTGGTTCATCAGTGACAGCATTAATTATTTCAGATCTGTATTTCTCGGTCCAAACGACACCAAAAATAGTTCCTTTGCAATTTTGTAAGCACTTTCTATAGCATTTTATTGTCACGGGAAATAAATCTCTAGGCTCAAAGCCAATATAACGTTCGAGCACATGAAAGACCCCCTGGAAAAAGCTACATTTTTGGAAATTGATTGTGATGAAATCCCTGTTCCATTTGCTGTACTACAGGGATACTCGTGTCTCAAGCAAAATCGATCGGACCGCTCTTACAGAGACACTCTCTTAAGTGCTTTCATTTTGTCTTAAAGGTGTCCTATAGATTGGTAACGAGTTAGCGGGTTATGACGTAAAAAAAGGGGAAACTCTCCGTTGACACTTACAAATCTCTCACAACTCTTGTAATTTTGTATTAGTCAGTGTTGAAATACTCTTGAAATAATGTCCGATAGCAATAAATACCCTTTGTCTGAGCCGATCAGCATTTAGTAATTTTGCCCTCTACGTTTAAGGGGTCGGAATATCAACTCGGAAATGGCTTTCAGCCATTTTCCAGGTTGAAAGGATCTTAATAAAGGAGGGAAAATCTATCTGGATCTTGCTTAGGCTCGAGCGTATCAGAGGAGACGACAAATCATTTTAGCGATTGTTCAATTTTTTACTTATTTTGCTTTTATGGCCTCTTTTGTGAAACATTCAATTACGCAAACCTGGATGAGATTTCAGTCAATGCCCTTTAGATCAACCTTAATCGATACTACATTTTAAGAGTAGTTATTTCTGTCTTTCTCTCTCATTCTCAGGAAAATAGCTTTTCAATACAATCTCTACACTAACAGGGTGTGGGTGCTATCAAATGTGGTGACGTACACATTACATCCTTTATTCAGACAAAATGAGACTAATGCATAGTTTAAGCGTGCCAAATTTCAATAATTACGTAAGTGGGTCAAAATTTAAAGTTTCTTTCGTCTTTCATTTCTATTTTCCGGCAGTGTGCTTTGGAGACATTAATCTTCTGCCTTTTTTGCAGCGGTTTTGGTCGATGCTTTATGTGTAGCGGCATCTCTGTTTGGCAGGGCCCACACAGTTTTCCGCTGATCCCGATTGTCATTATAGCAGTCGCAATAAGATCCTGCAACTTTCCAATCGCAACCATGCCATCCCCAATCTTCATATGTGTTTGGATATGCAGTTAACTTAGAGTCACCTGCACCCTCTTTCACTCTCTTGTAACGGACACATGTTGGACCACGACAGGAGCACCAAATGGGTCTGTAATGGCAGTCATCGCTTTTGTGGCAGCCCTCTTTTGCCAGGGTACACTCGAATTCTGGATACTTCTCACTGGAGCCTCTGGTATGGTCAAATTTTTGTATGGCAAGTCCATCGTTACTTATGAAGGGACAACCATAATTCAAGAAACCAAGATAGTAGTACTCAAGGTTTGTAGCTCGGATATTGTTAGGAGATCCCTGTTTAAATCGGCTTACTAGGATGGTCCAGATCGCCATAAAGGTGTGCTGAACAGACGCGGGAAATTCGTCTGCTTCATTCATGAGTTGGCCAAGCAATTCAGCCGACGTCGCTCCGTTTGCCAGCTCGCTGTTTGTTTCCCTTTTTCCACCTTTGACAAAGCGTTTCTTGCTTATGCTCATCGTGCTCACTTTGGATATCTCACTTTGGCTTATGTTTGAACATGCAGAAATGCCAACCTCTCCAACCTGGGTAGGTCCTGCTGCCGAAAGGCAAGCTTTTACTTGGAAATCTCTTTCAGTGTAAGCTTTAGAGCTCTCTGCGAATACCATCTGCTGAAATCTTGATCCGCGCACCACCGACGTTATGGCATGAGAGCCGTATTTTTTAAGAAAATTACTATACTCTCTCCATGAGTTTTGTTTCCAGGGATTTTTGATGTTTACGGGCAAGTCCTCGAAGTCTTTTAGAAATGTTCCTTTTAAGGTGGAGATGTCAGCATTTACTAGACATTCTTTATCGACGTGGATCTTTTCCGTTGGCGCCTGCTTGTCTAAAGACATGCCACTTACTTCAGTACTCTCTGAAGTTTGGATGTCTGTTGCTACTGATACCGTAAAACCCAACGAGTAGGAGGACTGTAAAGAGGCGCTCAAGCTTGACTGGGTGGCAAGTGATTTATAAAATTGCTTGGTACTTGCATAATAATCGAGGTAGCTGCTTGAAGATTTCAAAGGTTTCTTTATGAAACATTTCGGGGGGAGCTCCTCAAAGATCCTGTTCTCTTGCTCATTGAAGTTGGCCAGTAAGTTGACCTTTCGAAGATCTATCACTCTTCCCAGCTCAGAATACTCGGTAACGGTAGCCTCACATGTTTCTTTAAATGTGTATAACACAAAAACGAGAAGTACGGAAGGGAGATGCATCATTCTGCTTTTTGAAGTACAATCTACGGGGGAAAAAATGTTGCATAATTGTTTTTGAAAGTGGCCATAGAACGGGACCGAAACGTTTCAACGTTTTTAACGTGGGGCGATAAAGGAAATGTTTTAATGAATACATAACATTCCAATTATAACTGTTTTTGCTTCAAATGAAATAAATAATAGGCTAACATTTTACTTGGACAATTTTACTCTGAGATACGCAGTTAACTCATCTAGATGTTAATGTTAAGGGACACACTTTTAAAATTGTTCTATCGATTTTGAACAATAATAGAGGATCTTTGAGATATTTCCCCCTCTAGGGAGGATCGGATTTTAAAGCAATAAACACTACATTTCAAGGTTGCAGCTACCAACGGGCCTTTGTTCGGTTGTTTGTTTGTTTGTCTCTTGATTAAAAGTAAGCAACCTCAAACGTTAATCATTAGAACATTTCTTTAGAGACAATGTTAATCCATTTTCTAAAGTAAGAGTTAACTTACGACTTGTATTTTTGTTTTTCTTCGAAACGGTTAAGAAAGAAAACGGTAGATAAAGGTCTGAAAGCAGAATCGCACTCTTTAATTGTTATTAAAATATGAACAATTAAATGTATGACCATCAAGTAAACTTTTGTCCATTAAACTTTCGACGCTGAAAATAAGAAAACATCGAACTATGAGAATGACGATACCGGCAGAGGGACACTTAACTTTAACAAAAAACTATTCGGCTTTTTGACAAACCTTGTAATACTGGCTCCCTGAATCTCTTAGATTATGATAAACCAGGATACCAGGGAGTATCACCTAACCAAAAAGTTTAGACCCTTAGACATGGTAGAAAAGATTAGTAAAGCTCTTCGTTTCACTTAAGGTCTAACGTCGTTCTGCTCCTTACAGATAAATAAGAAAATCACACAACAAAGGTTGGAGACAATTTTAAAAAATTGGTGTTTTTGTCTTTTGAGAGGTATTTGCTTGCTTGTTTGATTAAAGAAACCAAACTTTTAATGTAAAAACTTCATGGTTGGGCTAGACCTTGAACTTAAGCACTATGCCTTCATCATAGCCATGGAAAATGAACAATATACGAATTAGAACCAATTCAACTCTTACTCTTACTTAAGTATTTTCGAAGATTAAGAATATGGCAGTAAAGGAGGGTCAAAGAGCAGTTCACTGACTTCGATGAATTGTAACTAGAAAGATATCGGTGATCATTTCCCCGTAACAAGGATTCTTCGGAAGTGACTTGGAATTAATGGCAAGTTAAATGTACAACTTAAAAGGTATGTCAATTTCAAAGACTCCTTTTAGTCCACAAACTTTAAGACTTGATGAATAATGAAGCTGAAGAGTGATAAAAGTAACAATATTACAAATGAACACCTAAATATACCAAAGCTGAGATTCGTTTTAGGAAGTTTCCCATATTCTTTCCTAACGGAGTTGGTTTTTCCAATACACTATAGTATCTGTAATGTTTCGATTCGCTGGGTTGCGTGTGGCTTTTACAGATCACAAACAAAGCTTAATTTAGAGAGTTAGATGTAAGGAGCAGGTAGGTCGAAAGGTTTTGTGGTGAAAACAAACCTACACCAGTTCATCGTTCTCTTTGACCAGACAACCCTAATGAATATATTTAAGACTGCATAATTACGAAAAAACCGAAACCTTTATTACACAGCTTAACTCGAGAGAGCAGCGAGAATCATTCCATAAAAAACGATACTCCGTCGAAAAATAGCCGAGTCTAGAACGAATATCGAATTATTTGTTTCGACGGATCGATTGCTTTATCACTCAATTAGGAATCCTACAAAAAATTAAATAATGATCATTTGAGTTTCAGAATCATTTACAATCTTCATTAATATCAGTTGCAGTTCAAGTTGGGGATCATTTTTGGGTTTTTTTACGTTTAGGGTTCATTTGGAAAGCGGACAGAATTTGCATGACAAAGGAAATTTTGTTTTTGTCGTGAATACCGATTTGTGACCTGGTAAAATGACTAGATAATGTAACAATGTTCATCTTCAAGATTATCAGTAGTCCTTTCAGTTAATAACGCCAAAAGTCAACTTTGGCTTATGGCGGCACACAAATAGAGAATTGGACAGGAATGGAACAATGTTGAAACATTTATCCGAAACTCTTTTCATGAGCAAAAATCAAGCAGGAACGTCATTGAATATATTTGAATTAAACGTGTTTTTTAATAGTTATCCCAATGTCGGTTGATTTTACTCGAAAAGAACGGCCTCTGCTCCGCATACAGTTTTGCATAGTTTGTGTCAATTTTTTTGCAGAATTAGGGTGAAAATATTGCTTTTTACAAAGAATAATTGTTTTCATTGACTGCGCTATGAAGCGAATGTATTTGACCTCAAAGAGGAAAAAATTGTTCTCTTCTCACCTGCAGCCAGTGAACGACCTCTTCCGTCTCTCAATTCTGATGTGCAATCAAATTCTGATGAGATGATCGTACTATATTAGATCTTTGTTGAATGGTAAATTACGTGTAAAAACGGGATTGGTTATCTAGGACGAGAACTAATCAACCAGTCCAAACTCCATCCAGGAGGGAAAAGCTTGCCTGGAGGGGTGAAGAGATATCGACAGGTATATTACATCTATGTTGAGCTGTAAATTACGTGTAAAAACGGGATTTGTTATCCAGGAGGAGAACTAATCAACCAGTCTAAACTCCCTCCAGGAGGGAATAGCTTGTCTGGAGGGGTGAAGAGGTATCAACAGGCGTATTAGATCTATGTTGAGCTGTAAATTACGTGTAAAAACGGGATTGGTTATCCAGGAGGAGTTATCCAGGAGCAAACATATTTTTCCTATGCGCGAGACAATTTTTTTACGAATCAGTAGCACCACGTTATTGGGGTTTGAACCACTAATGTTTAAAAACCGCTCGTATGTAGGAAGGGATAAAACTGCTTAGTCTTGATGGTTGGTTAGAATCTACAGAGGTAGAGGATTTTCTTCTTCCGTTTTCACCGTTATAATAAATATGTGCCCGCCTAAACAGCGTATTCGAATCTTTTTCGTTGGTCAACAGGTATGTTTTACTACGATGGGATTGGGAAACCTCTAGCTCTCTTTTTTTGTCCGCCAACACGAAAACGATAGGCCAGCAGTTTAAAAACGTCGCCCCGTAGGCCAATCATTAACTCCTCAGTTTTTAAAATATATTAACCCTTTAACTCCTATGAGTGACCAAGACAAAATTTCTGCTCACAATATCACTAGAAAATCAACCAAATAAGTGATGAGATTAAAGAAAAATATCAATTTAGGGATAATTAGTTGATCCAATAATAAATTCTCTGATGAACAAACATTATAAGAATTGTATTTGACACTAAGGAGAATTACACGTAAAAAGTTCACGCGGCAACCTGGTGGACAATCAGATAAGGTTTGATGCTACTCTGGTTTAAAGATTTAATGAATGTAACCGAGAAGTTATAATTCATAGACCTAACGTTTCGACAACCCTGTCTGGTACCTTCATCTGGGGTGATCTAATCGCTGCAACAAGAGGTCCTTTCATATGCTCTCTAATTAGCAGCCCCTTTTTTTCTGACGAGGTGTAAATAGGCGTCAGGAGGTAAGCCGCCATCATCACGATCTAAAAGAGCGTGGGCGGAGTTGATATGCCAGGCTTTCAAACAAAGGCGCTGGTGGTAACGCCGATTAGTGGTGATAATTTTAGACTTATCCCGCCCAATTGTATGGTTGGTTAAGCGTATGTGCTCCGATTGGTTAAGCGTATGTGCTCTTTTTAGCGAAAGAAGACCGCTTTTTGATGCTCTTTCAAACGTTTACCAAACTGACGTTTGGTCTGTCCGATATACTCCTCATCACAGTCATTACACGGGATAGAATAAAGTGTCGGTTCGTTGTTCTTGAAGTGTGGACGTCTTGTATTTTGCAGCATACAACTTTATTGATATCTGTCGGGCTATACTAGCCTATTCTCTACATCTAGTTATAAGCTCGGCTTTTATAGGTACGGTTGAGAATCTAGAACGTTCCGTAACATTACAGTAGATTCTATTTATATATTGATTCGGGGATGACTCAGCATGACACAGCTACTTCTAGAACATTCTTGAAGGTCACACTACAGTTCTTTCGTAACGGGATCCTTAGGTCTGGTTTCAAAGTAAAGTCTGAAAAAGTTTTTGAGCAACTTTAACGTTGCGTGAATATGAAAGCGATCTTCGCAGTTTAAAGTTGTGGCTATTCAAAATTCTCTCGTTGGGTTCCGTAACACCCTGAATGTCGGGAATAACAGCAAAACCTGTTCCCTCTCATCAGGAGTGCTACTAGTTGTAACTGGTTTCCGGCAGTTACGGAGAAAAGTTTTGGTACAGCCATTCACCTTTTATGATCTATGAATTGTAACTTCTCGGTTCTTTAAGCAAGAGTAGCATCAAACCATGTCTTCAGTTTTTGTTGCTCGAAGACTGCTTTCATGTGTGTAACGCAGGCTTTAACAGGAAAAAATATCTGTACGAGAAAAATTTCACGGTGGCTACGGAAGGAAAGCACCACAACCAAAATATGGTATAATATAAACAACCTACAGAAAAACATCCTTCTATCTACCATTTTCGAAAAGAAAGCAAGCTCGGAAAACGGATGTGAAGCGCTTCAAAATCAACGCATTGTGTAAAGAGAAGATTTGTTCCTTGGATTTGTGTAAGTCTTCCTATCTTGTAATCATGCCACCTGCCTTAAAGAATAGGTTCTTTGTAATGAGTTTCACAGAAATTCGAAAAAAGAAGAAGTACAGGGAGTTTAAGTCGCTAAAAGTGACGCAACTTAGGAGAAACGGTTGATCCGTTTTCTGCTTTGCAAAATAAAGAATATTCAGATAAGTGAGGAGGTTACCTAAAAACTCGTAAAAAGAATTACGAACAACCCCGTAAGGGTTGGACAGGTTGGTTATTCAAGGGTTTGTGTAATATATAGATTTAGCCAAGCCTAAAAGCGGAGCTCTTGTTAGTTTATTTTCTAATCCCTCATTATAATGAAAACTGTAATAACACTCTTCAGCGCTGGCTGTAGAAGAGTTTCTTCAAGGGAATAAAGAGACCAGTCCGGGGGTTGGGGAGGGAAGGGAAGAATTGGCGAGGTCTGGAACCTGGGGACGACGTTCTCACAACTTGCGATAAAACACATGCTAGTCAGCGGTATCTTCAAGCACCTAAGGACCTTCGTTGTTGTTCCTGATGTTTAGAGCAAATTTTCGAAGATAGAGAATCTTTTCTTCTTCAGAGGAAGTGTGCCATGTCAGCATCAGTTGAAATTATATTCTTTTGAGCATGACTTATAATTTTGGTTTGGACAAATGAGCAAAAATTGAAAGAAACGACGGTAAAGTACTTCCAGTTTAGACATCACCAGTCCATTGAAGAGTATACACACGATAACAGCGAATTAGTAAATCAAGACGCCAGAATCGTATGGACTTCACTCATATCTTCTCTTGAAGTTGCCAGGTTTGACTGCTTGCACTTTAACGTTGCGTGAATATGAAAGCGATCTTCGCAGTTTAAAGTTGTGGCTATTCAAAATTCTCTCGTTGGGTTCCGTAACACCCTGAATGTCGGGAATAACAGCAAAACCTGTTCCCTCTCATCAGGAGTGCTACTAGTTGTAACTGGTTTCCGGCAGTTACGGAGAAAAGTTTTGGTACAGCCATTCACCTTTTATGATCTATGAATTGTAACTTCTCGGTTCTTTAAGCAAGAGTAGCATCAAACCATGTCTTCAGTTTTTGTTGCTCGAAGACTGCTTTCATGTGTGTAACGCAGGCTTTAACAGGAAAAAATATCTGTACGAGAAAAATTTCACGGTGGCTACGGAAGGAAAGCACCACAACCAAAATATGGTATAATATAAACAACCTACAGAAAAACATCCTTCTATCTACCATTTTCGAAAAGAAAGCAAGCTCGGAAAACGGATGTGAAGCGCTTCAAAATCAACGCATTGTGTAAAGAGAAGATTTGTTCCTTGGATTTGTGTAAGTCTTCCTATCTTATAATCATGCCACCTGCCTTAAAGAATAGGTTCTTTGTAATGAGTTTCACAGAAATTCGAAAAAAGAAGAAGTACAGGGAGTTTAAGTCGCTAAAAGTGACGCAACTTAGGAGAAACGGTTGATCCGTTTTCTGCTTTGCAAAATAAAGAATATTCAGATAAGTGAGGAGGTTACCTAAAAACTCGTAAAAAGAATTACGAACAACCCCGTAAGGGTTGGACAGGTTGGTTATTCAAGGGTTTGTGTAATATATAGATTTAGCCAAGCCTAAAAGCGGAGCTCTTGTTAGTTTATTTTCTAATCCCTCATTATAATGAAAACTGTAATAACACTCTTCAGCGCTGGCTGTAGAAGAGTTTCTTCAAGGGAATAAAGAGACCAGTCCGGGGGTTGGGGAGGGAAGGGAAGAATTGGCGAGGTCTGGAACCTGGGGACGACGTTCTCACAACTTGCGATAAAACGCATGCTAGTCAGCGGTATCTTCAAGCACCTAAGGACCTTCGTTGTTGTTCCTGATGTTTAGAGCAAATTTTCGAAGATAGAGAATCTTTTCTTCTTCAGAGGAAGTGTGCCATGTCAGCATCAGTTGAAATTATATTCTTTTGAGCATGACTTATAATTTTGGTTTGGACAAATGAGCAAAAATTGAAAGAAACGACGGTAAAGTACTTCCAGTTTAGACATCACCAGTCCATTGAAGAGTATACACGCGATAACAGCGAATTAGTAAATCAAGACGCCAGAATCGTATGGACTTCACTCATATCTTCTCTTGAAGTTGCCAGGTTTGACTGCTTGCCCCACCATCTTTTCCCTAACGTTTCAACCTCCTCTGTTTCGCGTAAAAATTTAAAGGAAGAGTCATTTTCAACTCGTGTTTGAACCTGTAATTTCTTAAAAAATTTTCCTCTTTTGGCTATTTTTTATGATTGCCCCCTGGCTGGAAATACACGGCGTCTTTGAGGTTTTTTCTGTGATTTTATTCGGTAACCTCTGCTGTAACTACTTATAATTTAGGTTTCTTTAAGCCAACTGCCCATGATCTTAGCAACTCTAGCTAAAGAAGTACGAAATTTGTCTAATATGTTTCTTGCGCTGCAAAAGTTTGCTTTAAAAGAAGACAAACTAGAGCTAAAATGTCATGATTAAAATTTGATGACCAAGAGAGACTTAGGATTTGATCATGAAGACATTTGTGGAAAACTTGAGATTTCATTTTTACATCACAGCAATCAATTCCAAACATCAATCAAGTTTTCTCTTTAGTTTTAAAGTTGAGTTGATTTTGTTATTGGTTATATTAAATGGGTTGAAAAGTTTTTGATGGTATTTTCTCATGTTTGCAAATAGTTGAATTTAATGGAAGTTAGAGTTACTGCAACATGTCA